CTCACACCTGTAATCCTAGCACTCTGGCAGGCTGAGGCGGGCGGATTGCTCCAGGTCAGGAGTTCGAAACCAGCCTGAGCAAGAGCGAGACCCCCGTCTCTACTATAAATAGCAAGAAATTAATTGGCCAACTAATGTATATATAGAAAAAATTAGCCGGGCATGGTGGTGCATGCCTGTAGTCCCAGCTACTCAGTAGGCTGAGGCAGCAGGATTGCTTGAGCCCAGGAGTTTGAGGTTGCTGTGAGCTAGGCTGACGCCAGGGCACTCACTCTAGCCTGGGCAACAAAGTGAGACTCTGTATCAAAAAAAAAAAGAAAGAGAAATAAAAGAAAATATAGAAGCTAGTGACTAAAGGCCACACATTGTAGGATTCCATTTGAATGAAAAGTCTGGGATAGACAAATCATTAGAGATACAAAGTAGATTAGTGGTTGCCTAGGGCTGTAGGCTTTGAGGGGAAATGGGGAGTGACTGCTATGGAGATGAAATTTTGGGGGTGATAAAAATGTTCTAAAGTTGATTGAGATGTTCTAAAGTTGCTCAACTCTGTGAACATACTAAAACCATTGAATTGTACATTTTATTTTATTTTACTAGTCAAGTGAAGCAGTGAAGTGGAAGTGGAGAAGGAACAATGGAATCGTAACTGGTTGTGATCAATTAGTTGTAAACACCACTGCACTTGGACTAGCTAGAATTGTAAGTTTTAAATGAGTGAATTTTATGGTATGTGAAAAGCTGTTTAAAAAAAAGAAAAAAGGAAATGTCCCCAAATTTCGTAGGTTGATTGCTACTTTTCGATAGGCAAGAAATGTATTTGGAAGCATAAAAAAATACAAGAACTTTTTTTCTTTTGTTTTGTTAGAGACAGGGTCTCGCTCTGTTGCCCAGGCTGGAGTGCAGTGGTGCGATCATAGCTCACTGTAACCTCAAACTCCTGTGCTCAAGGGATCCAGTCTCAGTATGTTGCCGAGGCTGGACTCAAACTCCTGGGCTCAAGAGATCCTTCTGCTACCCTCAGCCTCCTGAGTTGCTGGGACTACAGGCATGTGCCACCATGCCTGGCTAATTTTTTCTATATATTTTTAGTTGTTCAGCTAATTTCTATTTTTAGTAGAGATGTTCTCACTCTTGTTCAGGCTGGTCTCTAACTCCTGACCTTAAGCGATCCTCCCGTCTTGACTTCCCAGAGTGCTAGAATTATAGGCATGAGCCACCGTGCCCGGCCGCAAGCATCTATTTCATTATGTCCTCTAGTGTAATCCTACCTGATCATTTACATATTAAAAGATGATTAAAATTGTATATTATTTCTTAGCTATTTTTCTTACATTATGGTTAGGATATTTGACTGATATTTTAAAAATTATATGCATGGGCAGGTTACATTTTCCAGGAATTCCATATGAAGATAATTAAGGGGCATTATAAGATAGTTACAAGAAGGGTATTGACATTAGGCCTCAGAAAGAAGAGTAATCCTTTGTCCCAGTGGTTTTGGTAACTAAGCCTAAACCAATAATTACCTGGCATTTAGCTAGGTTTAGGGACTAGATGGGTAGTCTAGTCAGGGGAAAGCTCTTTACTGGATTTGACCATGGAAGGCTTTAGATCCAACAACTTCTAGCAACCAGAAAGGGAGCCAGCCTTAGGAAGAAATAATCCTGTGGACAACACAGGGGAGATAAAACATGAAATGGTATCAATGAACCTGTGAGTCATGCTGCCTTGAAGGCCACTATCTTAGTCCATTTGGTCTACTGTAACACAATACCACTGGGTAGCTTATAAGCAACAGAAATTTATTTCTCACAATTCTGGAGGCTGAGAAGTCCAAGATCCAGGTCCTGGCAAATTCACTATCTGGTGTGGACCCACTTCCTAGTTCAAGGATGGCCACCTTTTTACTGTAACCTTACATGGTGAAAATGAGGAGGATCTCTCTAGGGCTTTTTTTATTAGGACACTTATCCCATTCCTGAGGGTATCATCTGCATCACCTAATCACTTCCTAAAGGCCCCACCTCTTAATACTATCACCTTGGGGATAGGATTTTAACATATGAATTTTGGGGAGACATAGACTATAACACCCACCATACTTCTGATCTTCCAATTCTATGAGCCACAGAATCCTCATTATTTAAACCAGTTTGAGATTGTTTTTCCTGTTATTTATACCTGAAAGAAACCAACTGATAAATGTATGTACTGTCTTAAAAGTCTAGATTGCAGAAATAAATGTTTCTTCTTTTGCTGCAGTCAAGTTATCTTCCACGCTTTGGTTTCTTGTTTTTTAGGCTGTTTTGCAATTTTACCAAAGACTTACATTATAGTACATTGAAATTCTGACAGTGAAATGTTCATATCAACTTAATCCCAATATCTTTCAAGTATTTTTGAAAGCATAACTAAATAAATGTTTGACTCTCTTTGTGGAATAAGGATTTATAGAGTGAGAGAAGCAAATTGTGCTATGGTTTGAATGTGTCCCCCAAAAGTTCATATGTTAGAAACATAATTACTATTGTAATAGTGTTGAGAGGTGGGACCTTTAAGAGGTAATGAGGTCTTGAGGCCTCCACCCTCATGAATGGATTAATGCTGTTTTTGTTGAAGTGCGTTAGTTATCTCAGGAATGGGCTCTTGATAAAAAGTTAAGTTCAGGCTGATTTTCTCTTGTCTTGTGTGCTTGCTGGCTTTTCCATCTGTCTTGCCTTCTACCATGGGATAACACTACACAAAAGTCCTGGCAGATGTCAGCACCATGCTCTTGGACTTCCCAGCCTCGAGAACTGTGAGCCAAATACAGTTGTATTGACTATAAATTATCCAGTCTGGGCCAGGTGTGGTGGCTCACACCTGTAATCCTAGCACTCTGGGAGGCTGAAGCAGGAGGATTGCTTGAGATCAGGAGTTTGAGACCAGCCTGAGCAAGAGTGAGACCTTGTCTCTACTAAAAATAGAAAGAAATTAGCCAAACAACTAAAAATAGAAAAAATTAGCCAGGCACAGTGGCGCATGTCTATATTCCCAGCTACCAGGGAGGCTGAGGCAGGAGGATTTCTTGAGCCCAGGAGTTTGAGGTTGCTTTGAGCTAGGCTGACACCACAGCTACTCTAGCCCCAGCAAGAGAGTGAGACTCTGTCTCAAAAAAAAAAAAAAAAAAAAAAAATTATCCAGTCTGTGGTATTCTGTTATGGCAGCAGAAAATGGACTAAGACACGTTGCATTAGCATAAGTCCTCACTCACTTTTGGAAAAGCAATGCAAAGCATGTACATCCCAATGGCAGGGGAACAGTATCATCTTCCTTCATATATGAAAGTAAACATTTTCTTAATACAGATATTCTTCTGTATTAAAGCTTTAAAAACTCCTGAGGAATCTTAAAATATTTAGTACTTTAAAAAGAGAAGAGATTTAAGACTATGCTAGAAACTTCTAGTTATTATTCCCCAATATCCATTCTTTCTTCCTTCTTGGTACTGAAACCCCATTTTCCAGCCTTCTTTGCAATTCAGTGTAGTCAGGTGACTAAGGTTTTACCAGCAGAATGAAAGCAGAAATGGTGCATGTAACCTTCAGGAAAGGTTATTTATTTTTTTTCTTTTTTCTTTTTTTTTTTTTGAGACAGAGTCTCGCTTGTTGCCCAGGCTAGAGTGAGTGCCGTGGCATCAGCCTAGCTCACAGCAAACTCAAACTCCTGGGCTCGAGCAATCCTGCTGCCTCAGCCTCCCGAGTAGCTGGGACTACAGGCATGAGCCACCATGCCCAGCTAATTTTTTCTATATATATTAGTTGGCCAATTAATTTCTTTCTATTTTTTTTTTTTATAGTAGAGACAGGGTCTCGCTCTTGCTCAGGTTGGTTTCGAACGCCTGACCTTGAGTAATCCATCTGCCTGGGTGTCGCGCCCCCTTGCCAGCAAGGAAGACACGGCAACTGGAGTTCTTCTGACAGCGCTTTAATGGGGATTGCTTAACTGGTTACATGCGGAAGACGCCGAGGCGTTCTCGGCGGCTGCTTATATAGACAGTAAGTACACGGGGCATAACCTGATTGGTCAGCACAGAACAGGAGAGGAGGCAAGGCTTTGCACATGCGCTGAACATCTGTTTGTCAGACGCACAGTAGGGTGTGACCAGGAAGCGGCGGGCCATCTAGAATGGCGTTGCCACCGCGCCCCACATCTCCCCCTATTTTATTAATTAAATGAGAACTGAGCAACCGTTCAGCACTGTCCTTCGACAGTACGATCAAGGATGCAGAGCCTCACTTCCACCAGCAACCACCTTACCTCGTGCAATGAGAAACTACTCGAGGTGTGCAAAGGCTGGCTGTGGATTGGAGACATGCCTTATCTGGTGCAATGGGAGAGACCTCAGAGTGCAAAGGCCAGTTCTGCTAAAATACTGGGGGTAGGAGCGGGTGCAACCAAAACTAGGCTAACCTTTTAGCATGGTCAACACCACCCTGTGTAGACTGTCCATTAAAGCGAGCAAATGCCTGTGCCAATACCACGCCTCCGTCTCTGGGCCTGCAGCCTACAGATGGCTCACAGCCCGCCGCAGCACAGCAAGCAGCAAGACCGCGTGGCTGCAAGGCCGAAACAGAGTCATAGAGCTAGGAGCTTCAACAGGAACAGGAATGATTCTAGGCAAGCGGGTAACAATCAGAGAGGGTGAGACGTGGCATTCCAACACAAGTATAATTGCACGTATTAGGAGAACAGTTCACATGTGTACCAGAGGTTTTCTGTGGATCCACCCAGATAAATGGGGCAAACACAGACATGTTAGGAAAGTCACGTCGCCTCCCGCAATCCCTCACAGAACCTTCAAAGAGTCGCTAAGATTCCATGCGAAATAGCATTCCTGCCATACCCCAGCCATATGGACAGGGGAGCCAAGTCTGTGCAGCTTCCGTTAACCCCACACAAAACACAAAGTCCCCTTCAGAGAAGGATTCTGTTACTAGCATGTGCAATGAGCAGGTACGCAGTGCCCAGGGAAACATTAGTAGAAAAGAGGCGGGGGAAAATTGGTGAGTTATGTGTCACAGGCATCGGCAGGGGAAGTACTGACAGGATCCCCCAGCGTGGCTCCGCTGCCATCCTTGCGATCATCCATACTGTCGTCAGGAGGAGTAGCCAGCACGTCTTCATGCTGCTCCAGAGGCTGCTGCACCGTTCTAGTCAGCCGTGTGGGCACCCAGATGGGATTGTCCTGGTCCTGTGGAAAAATACAAATAGCTCCCCTGGATCTCATTATCACTGGATCCGGGCCTTTCTATAGATTAGACAACACATCTTTCCACTTCACTAATTCTTTCTGTGGCGGAGCAGGCGTGACATGCCTGTCTGCTGCTGAACGTCCCTTGACATCTAAATTTAAAAATTTAAAGTAAAGAGAGCAAAGGAGAGGCGTCCTCTAGGTGATAGCCCTAGCTGTAGGGCATCTCCCCCCTTTTGTTTTTGTAAGTACATTTTGAGCGTGCCGTGAGCACGCTCCACGATGCCTTGCGCTTGAGGGTTGTAGGGAAGACCGGTACGGTGCTCACACCCAAGCGAGTGCAAAACTGCTGAAAAGATTTTGAGGTATAAGCCGGGCCATTATCTGTCTTAATAGCCCGGGGCTTGCCCCAGGCTGCCCAAGCTTCTAGGCAGTGAGTGATAACGTAACTTGCCTTTTCTCCAGCCAGAGGCGTGGCATGAAGGACGCCTGAGCACGTGTCTACAGACACGTGAACATATTGAAGCTTCCCAAAAGATGGACATGAGTTACATCCATTTGCCACAGATGTAGAAGGACGCAAACCCCTAGGATTCACGCCCGTATGAACAACGGTGCGAAAAGGAGCACAATTTGGACATTGCAGTACAATCTCACGAGCATCTGCACGCGTGATGTTGAACTTAAGTCGTAAGGTTTCAGCTGGCACATGATAAAGTTTATGAAAGTCTATGGCGGCGGCGTGGCCATCAGACACCCAGAGGGCGCGAGTGCGTGATCAGCCATAGCATTTCCCACAGCCATAGGTCCAGGTAACAAGGAATGAGCTCTGATATGCTGAATGGAAAATGGGTTCCTTCTGTTCTGAATAGTATTCCTAATTTCTGTAAATACAGAAAAGACAGTACTCTTGGCAAGAATGTGAAAGGAGTTCTCTAACTGTTTAACTGCGTTGACCACATAAAAGAGTCTGAGAGATGATGTTGATAGGTTCAGTGATGGTACTGAGAACCAGACCGACTACGGCACACTCTACTAGCTGAGGAGAAGAATAGTTAAACTGTTTGGTATACACCTTGTCCTGAATGACATAGCTCCCAATACCCGTCTTAGAACCATCGGTATACACATCTAAGGCATCAACCAAAGGTTGTAGTGAGGTTACCCTTGGGAAAATAAGCTCGTTCCTCATTGCAAACTGCAGCAAGGCATGTCTGGGATAATGGTTATCAATGCTCCCCGGGAAGGTGCATCTCAATATGGCCCATGCATCAAGATTGGCACATAAGGTGTTCACCTGATTGGCAGTATATGGACAAATCAGGCTATCAGGGTGACGCCCAAAATGGGATACAGCCAAACTAACACCCTTTAAAGCTATCTCGGCCACACAGGTAGGATAGTGGCCAATCACCTTTCCTGGAGAGGCTTGAGGATGCACCCATAAAAGGGGGCCATCCTGCCAAAGCACTGCTGTAGACAGAGGGAGAAAGGATCGTGGTGCTGAATGCGCACCAGTTGCGCCTTCTGAATGGCTTCTTCTACCTTATGAAGAGCCTTAAGGGCCTCAGGAGTCAAAGTTCTAGGGGACGTAATGTGTGAGTCTCCCTCTAGAATCTGAAATAATGGCTTCAGTTCTGCTGTGGTAAGACATAGGAAAGGTCGAAGCCAATTGATATCTCCTAGTAGCTTTTGGAAATCATTTAATGTTTTTAAGGCATCTCTTCGGATGGACAGTCTTTGGGGTACGATTTTGTCAGGGAGAATGCTACTACCAAGAAACGCGCCCACTTCTCCCTCTTGCACCTTCTCAGGGGCGACCAGCAAGCCTTTTTCCCTTAAGTGAGCCTGAAGGGATGCATAAGCCTGGCGAAGTACGCCATCATCACAATGACACAAGAGAATATCATCCATATAGTGTATAATTTTTACCTTTGAAAACTTCTGCCTAACCGGCTGGATAGCCAAGGCCACATAAAGTTGGCACATAGTGGGACTATTAGCCATGCCCTGAGGTAAAACCTGCCATTGATACCTTGCATCAGGCTGCTCATGGTTTATGGAAGGAAGCGTGAATGCAAATCTGCTTTTATCTTGTGGGTGCAGGGGAATAGAGAAAAAACAGTCTTTGATGTCCAAGATAATTAGACTCCAATGTTTAGGCAAAGCAGAGAGAAGGGGCAGTCCTCTTTGAACAGGCCCCATAAGCTGCATCTGGGCATTAATTGCTCTAAGGTCATGCAACAGTCTCCATTTACCAGACCTTTTCTTAATCACAAAAATAGGGGTATTCCAGGGAGATTGAGAGGGCTCAAGATGCCCAAGAGTAAGTTGTTCTTGTACTAGGTTATGGCAGGAGTAACTTTTTAGAGGGTAAGGGCCACTGAGGTACCCACACTGGCTCCTCTGTTTTTCAACTCTACCCTGCAAATTCTTTCCAAGACCTTTACCTGGGACGCAGCCCATGCTCTTCATCAGCTTTTGACTTTGAACAGAATAGTCATTGGTCAATTTGAAGTCCAATTGCCGTAGCAAATCTCTACCCTAAAGGTTCACAGGCAGAGGTAGGACATAAGGTTGAAAACTGCCCTCTCTACCCTCATTATCCTTCCATCTCAGTGTCTGGGCACTGATCACTGGAGAGGATGCATATCCCAATCCCTGCAAAGTTTGAGCTGAGGGGGCCAATGGCCACGTTTTTGGCCACCAGCGTTCAGAAATTATACTAGTGTCAGTTCCTGTATCCAGGAGGCCCGTAAATGTCTTTCCCTGTATGGTTAAGTCCATAGTAGGGCGTTCATCTAAATTCAATGACAAATACGCACAGTTTCCTCCAGAGAACCAAAACCTTTTCTCCTCTAGTTCTTGTTTACTAGGGAATAAAGAATGGAGGCTAGGTAAAATTAGCAACTGTGCTATCCGGTCTCCTGGATATATGGGAACTATGCCTCTAGTTGAAGAGCAAAGATCTTCACTTGTCCTCAAAATCTGAATCAATAACCCTGGGTGAACTATCAGTCCCTGCAAAGTTGAGGAGGACCTCCCAAGGACAAGTCCTACAGTATGTTCAGGCAACGGCCCTTGAAATCAGATGGACCGGTTGGCACCCCATGAGAGAGTTAACACTGTGGTGGGTGGCACAGAGGTCCAGTCCTGCGGAACCTTTAGTGGCTCTCCTCGGCCCCCGAGGTGCCAGCGACGGCACCGGAGTGCTCTGCATGACCCCATATATTTGAGGGCCCTGAGGTCGAGGCCCGGTCCCGTTTTTTGTTGTCATGTTTTTTGGCGAACGGTTGATTAGTCTTCCTTTAATATCCTTGGTGGATCTACACTCACTGGCCCAATGTTTCCTTTTTGACAAAGTAGGCATATCCCCGGCACCTTAGGCTGAGGGCGCTCCTGCTTGGCAATCTGCACTGCCTCTTAAGGTGACCGGGTTTTCCACAATTGTAGCAGGTCATAGCTAAGTTACCAAGCCTCTCCACTTGGCTATGGTGAAAGACGCCGTAACCCCCAGGACCGCAGCGACTCAGCAAGGTCTTTCAATTGTTTGTGCTGGAGAGGCTCATGATACCGTTGCTGATTGTTATTCTCGAAAACAGGGAATGAGAGAAACATTTTCCTCATATCTCGGGGCCTGATAAACGAGCTCCCGCTGACTTGCTTGGGTCTGGCTCCTCCCTGCTCTCTCAGAGGAGGGGCGGTAGGGGCAGTAAAAGCAGCGTCACTGTAGGGCGGTGCCGATATCGCCCCGCCTCATACTTTGCCGCTTCCTCTTCAAAGTATCTCCTCCTCTGGATCTAGCTCCTCCCCGCTTTCTCCCCTGAACTTGAGGAAGTAAGAGAAGAGGAAGAAGAGGAATCATCCTCAGAAATATCTAATTTCTTAAATTCTGACAGAAAAAGGCTTTCCCCTGTCTTCTGTCCTGTCCTTTCCTTTGTTATTTTATTCTTGTACCTTTACATTTCTTTCTCTCCCTTTCTTTTTTTCAGGCCTCTCCTTGTTGACTCTGAGTACTGTCTTGATGGTCAGAGAGACCTTTTGCCCTGCCTGTACCTGGCTGCACAACTTTATCATTCAGGCACGACCGATCATAGTCCACACAGGGAGCGTGCCCTGCCATAAGTGCCTTGCTCCTCTCCCCGCAGCAGATTTCTCCAACTATCCCAAGACGGGACATTAATGACCCGGATATGGAGGAAACCACGGCGCGACCCTGTCACTCCTTCATAAAATTCCACAGCAGACGCTCCGATAGGGCCAGGTCCCGCGCCTGCAGCACACCCTGCAAAGCTTGTACAAAAGGGGGCTTTGGAGTTACCCATGTCTCCTTATCTACAGGAGCGAAGAGCAAATATACTTGTTCGAAACGAAAGCAGGGGCTCACGGGCTCTCACTAACAGCCTACTTTGGTCAGCAAAGGTCCGAATTCGGTTCCATCCCACGCGTCAGTTCTGAACTCACCTCTATCGAGGTCGTCTCCGCTGGTGCTTCAAAGTTGTTTTGGTTCCCGGGTTTCGGCACCACTTGTCGGGCCCCCTCGCCAGCAAGGAAGACGCGGCAACTGGAGTTCTTCTGACAGCGCTTTAATGAGGATTGCTTAACTGGTTACATGCGGAAGACGCCGAGGCGTTCTCGGAGGCTGCTTATATAGACAGTAAGTACACGGGCATAACCTGATTGGTCAACACAGAACAGGAGAGGAGGCAAGGCTTTGCACATGCGCTGAACATCTGTTTGTCAGACGCACAGTAGGGTGTGACCAGGAAGCGGGCGCCATCTAGGAATGGCGTTGCCACCGCGCCCCACACCTGGGCCTCCCAGAGTGCTCACTAGGCGTGAGCCACCGCGCCCAGCCTAGTAAAATGCTTTTTATTTTTATTTATTTATTTATTTTTTATGAGACAGAGTCTCGCTTTCTTGCCCAGGCTAGAGTGAGTGCCGTGGCATCAGCCTAGCTCATAGCAACCTCAAACTCCTGGGCTCAAGCGATCCTCCTGCCTCAGCCTCCCGAGTGTCAATTGAAGTCCAATTGCCACAAATCTGCTTTTATCTTGTGGGTGCAGGGGAATAGAAAAAACAGTCTTTGATGTCCAAGATAATTAGACTCCAATGTTTAGGCAAGCGAGAGAAGGGCAGTCTCTTTGAACAGGCCCCATAAGCTGCATCTGGGCATTAATTGCTCTAAGGTCATGCAACAGTCTCCATTTACAGACCTTTTCTTAATCACAAAAATAGGGGTATTCCAGGGAGATTGAGAGGCTCAAGATGCCAAGAGTAAGTTGTTCTTGTACTAGGTTATGGGCAGTGAGTAACTTTTAGAGGGTAGGCCACTGAGGTAACCCACTGGCTCCTCTGTTTTTAACTCTACCCTGCAAATTCTTCCAAGACCTTTACCTGGGACGCAGCCCATGCTCTTCATCAGCTTTTGACTTTGAACAGAATAGTCATTGGTCCATTTGAAGCAATTGCCTAGCAAATCTCTACCCTAAAGGTTCACAGCAGAGGTAGGACATAAGGTTGAAAACTGCTCTCCACCCTCATTATCCTTCCATCTCAGTGTCTGGGCCTGATCACTGGAGAGGATGCATATCCCAATCCCTGCAAAGTTTGAGCTGAGGGGCCAATGGCCACGTTTGTGCCACCAGCGTTCAGAAATTATATACTAGTGTCAGTTCCTGTTATCCAGGAGGCCCGTAAATGTCTTTCCCTGTATGGTTAAGTCCATAGTAGGCGTTCATCTAATTCAATGACAAATCGCACAGTTTCCTCCAGAGGAACCAAAACCTTTTCTCCTCTAGTTTCTTGTTTACTAGGGAATAAAGAATGGAGGAGGTAAAATTAGCAACTGTGCTATCCGGTCTCCTGGATATATGGGAACTATGCCTCTAGTTGAAGAGCAAGAATCTTCACTTGTCCTCAAAATCTGAATCAATAACCCTGGGTGAACTATCAGTCCCTGCAAAGTTGATGAGGAGACCTCCCAAGGACAATCCTACAGTATGTTCGGCAACGGCCCCTTGAAATCAGATGGGACCGGTTTGGCATTTCCCCACCCCATGAGAGGAGTTAACACTGTTGTGGTGGTGGCACAGAGGTCCAGTCCTGCGGAACCTTTAGTGGCTCTCCTCGGCTCCCCGGAGGTGCCAGCGACGGCACCGGAGTGCTCTGCATGACCCCATATATTTGAGGGCCCTGAGGTCGAGGGCCCCGGTTCCCGTTTTTTTGTTGGTCATGTTTTTTTGGCGAACGGTTGATTGGTCTTCCTTTAATATCCTTGGTGGATCTACACTCACTGGCCCAATGTCTTCCTTTTTGACAAGTAGGGCATATCCCCGGCACCTTAGGCTGAGGGCGCTCCTGCTTGGGCAATCTGCACTGCCTCTTAAGGTGACCGGGTTTTCCACAATTGTAGCAGGTCCTAGCTAAGTTACCAAGCCTCTCCACTTGGGCTATGGTGAAAGACGCCGTAACCCCCCAGGACCGCAGCGACTCAGCAAGGTCTTTCAATTGTTTGTGCTGGAGAGGCTCATGATACTGTTGCTGATTGTTATTCTCGAAAACAGGGAATGAGAGAAACATTTTCCTCATATCTCGGGGCCTGATAAACGAGCTCCCGCTGACTTGCTTGGGTCTGGCTCCTCCCTGCTCTCTCAGAGGAGGGGCGGTAGGGGCAGTAAAAGCAGCGTCACTGTAGGGCGGCGGCCGATATCGCCCCGCCTCATACTTTGCCGCTTCCTCTTCCAAAGTAGCTTCCTCCTCTGAATCTAGCTCCTCCCCCGCTTTCTCCCCTGAACTTGAGGAAGTAAGAGAAGAGGAAGAAGAGGAATCATCCTCAGAAATATCTAATTTCTTAAATTCTGACAGAAAAAGGCTTTCTCCCCTGTCTTCTGTCCTGTCCTTTCCTTTGTTATTTTTATTCTTGGTACCTTTACATTTCTTTCTCTCCCTTTTCTTTTTTCCAGGCCTTCTCCCTTTGTCTGACTCTGAGGTACTGTCTTGATGGTCAGAGAGCACCTTTTGCCCTGCCTGTACCTGGGCTGCACAACTTTTATCATTCAGGCACGACCGGATCATAGTCCACACAGGGAGCGTGCCCTGCCATAACGTGCCTTGCTCCTCTCCCCGCAGCAGATCTTTCTCCAACTTATCCCAAGACGGGACATTTAATGACCCGGAATGGAGAAACCACGGCGCGACCCTGTCCACCTCCTTCATAAAATTCCACAGCAGACGCTCCGATAGGGCCAGGTCCCGCGCCTGCAGCACACCCTGCAAAGCTTGTACAAAAGGGCGGCTTTGGGAGTTACCCATGTCTCCTTTATCTACAGGAGCGAAGAGCAAAATATACTTGTTCGAAACGAAAGCAGGGGGCTCACGGGCGCTCACTAACAGCCTACTTTGGTCAGCAAAGGTCCGAATTCGGTTCCATCCCACGCGTCAGTTCTGAACTCACCTCTATCGAGGTCGTCTCCGCTGGTGCTTCAAAGTTGTTTTGGTTCCCGGGTTTCGGCACACTGTCGGGGCCCCTTCGCCAGCGAAGGGAAACACCGGGCAACTGAGTCTGTTTCTGACAAGCGCTGTTAATAGGAAGTGGCCTAACTGGTACAGTGCGGCAAGACCCGAGCGTTCTCGGAGGCGCTAGGATGTAGAAGACAGTAAGGTACACGGGCGGATACCTGATGTGGTCAAAGCCAGAGACAGGAGAGGGGAGCAAGCTTGCACATCGGCGGAACATCTGTTGCAGACGGCATCAGGTAGGTTGACCAGCGAAGCGGGCGCCGATCTAGGAATGGCGTTGCCACCGCGCCCCACACCTGGCCTCCCAGAGGCGTCAAGCGTGAGCCACCCGCGCCCGAGCCTATAAAATGCTTCTTATTTTATGTATTATTATTTTAGGATACAGAGTCTCGCTTCTGCCCAGGGCTAGAGTGAGTGCCGTGGCATCAGCCGTAGGGCTCATAGCAACCTCAAACTCCTGGGGCCAAGCGCGATCCTCCCCTTCAGGCGCTCCGCGAGTAGCTGGGACGTACAGGCATGAGCCACCGATTGCCCAGCTGATTGTTATTATTATATGATATTAGTGCGCCGACATTAATTCTTTCTATTTTATGCGTAGAGACGGGTCGTCGCTCGCGGCTTTGGTGTTTACGGATTGAACGCCTTGACCCGGAGCAATAGCCGCCCGCCTCGCCTCCAGAGCGCTGGATTACAGGCGTGAGCCACCGCGCCCGGCCTTAAAATGCTTTTTAGATTTCCATTGATAACACCTCAACCACTTTCCCCAAAACAACTACATGGTCATAGGCACTTCTGTAGGAAATTTAGACAGGGCTTCTAAAGGCTGTTGAAGTCATGCTCTTGAAAATTCAAGAGGCTGAAATAGACTTGACTGTAAGTAAGTATAAAACCTGGGTGGATAGATGGGAAAAGCATCAGGGCTGAGTAGCTGTGCTGGTAACCTCGGGTAAACAGTCTCAGCTGGGTAGCCTTGGACGAGTAACTTCACCTTTCTGGGTCTCCATTTCTGAATGGAGGGCATTAGAAAAAGGCGCCTCTAAAGACCTTCAGATCCCGAGACCGCCCTACTCCGGGCAGCTTGCGGGCTCCGCTGATGGGCCTACCTGCGAGGGCGACGCTGTGCTCCGGCTCTGGGCACCCCGCACAGGGTCTCAGCGGTGCGGCACTTGAAGTCCACGTTCAGAAACGCAGCAGGGCGAGCCTAGTAGCGGCCGCCCACCGGAAGAGGACAGAATGGGCCTGGTCTACCCTGCCGCGAACCGTAAGTTAGGGGTCGGGACCGCGGCTCCCGCGGGCGTGCAGGCAGAGCCCCGGCGTCCCCACCCAGCCCCCCGACGTCCCGCCCTGCCCCTCGGAGCTCCGCCCCGCCCCTGGCCGGCCACTTGCTGCACGCCGATTGGTCGCTATGGAGGTCGCGTCGCCCCGCGGCCCGCCAACGCCCTCGCCCCGCCCCGTCGCGCCCCGCCCCGCCCCCGGCAGGTCGCTTGCTGCACGCCTATTGGTTGCTGTGGCGCACACGACGCCTCGCCCCGCCCCGCCGGCGCCCTAGCCTCGCGCCCGGCATCTCTGTCGGCTCCCGGGACTAAGGGGGAGCCGGAGGACACCGGTACTGCGGTGGCGCGGCCGCCCCCTCCCTGCGCGCGCGCCCCGCGTCGGCGTGGGCGTCGGAGGAAGCCGGTGAGTGCTGTCAGCGGGTCCACCGCGCCAGGGGGCTCCGGGTCTCGCGCCCGCCGCCCGCGCATGTGGAGGTTCCTCGTCCGGCCCGGCCCGGCCTGCGAGGTGCCGCGGCGCCGCCCAGCCCAGTCTACGCTGCGCCCCGCGCCGGCCGCGGAGCACCCGTCGGCCTGCGGGGCGGGGCCTCCGCCGCCCCCTCGGCCCCAGCCCGCGTCCCCTTGGGCCGACCGCGGCGGTGACCCCACTCAGCCCGCAGGCCGCTCCGCCGCCTTATCGCGCCGGCAGGTTGCTTTACTGGACGGACTGGAAAGGTCCCGGCTCTTGCCTGTCAGCCCCTCAGGGCGGCTGGGAGGGGGAGAGCGACTGGCGGGACGCTGAGCGGCGGCCGCGACGCCCTCCTGAGGCCCGGGCGAGTGTCCTGGGGCGACTCGGCCCCTTCCTCGCCCCTCCGGTTTGCTCGGAACCATTGCTAGGAATCTGTCGGCGTCTTGTGGACTTTCTGACTCCATCCCTACCAGAGTCAAGTACAGAGAGGTGGGGAGGGGAAAGGGAGGAGGAACAACATTCTTTAGAGAATTAATCAAGCGTTGAGTGTCCTTTTTAGATAAGTAGCAACAGAGAACTGTCAGTGTGGCAGTGGTAGTCGTGGTAAGACCATTTTGGTTTTTAGCTGTTAAGTTGGAAGGTGCTTAAATCTGAAAGGTAAATATATGTCCTTTAAAAACCAAAGCAGTGAGGTGGACTGTGCCGGGGTGCACCTCTCTGCTAGTGCTGGGTGGGAGGAGTGGGGGCGCGGGAATGGAAGCCTTGGATTGGAGTGAATGCGTGTAATCAGCATTATCGATCTCAAAGACCTGAATTTCTCTTTTCTGAGTGTCTCCCTCCACCTCATCTGCTAAACTCCCCACCCTACTTGTACTGTGAATCTTTATCTTGAGATTCTCTTACTGCCAGGCTTGTCTCCTTTCTCTTTGATCATTTTTAGCTAGACTCTGTCTCAAAAAAAAAAAGAAACAGAACATTTGTATTTTTCTTCAGAGGTAGCCTCCATCCTGCTTTTTAATGCTAATCTTTCTCTAGCTTTTTAAAATAAGCTTTACATATATACACACACACACACACACACACACATAAGTTCACATACATATGTTTATACATAGATATTTACACAAAAAATATGCACATACCCCATATCCTGACCTAAACAGTATGTTTCATTCAAACTATTGAATGATGTTAAAATTCTTATACAAATATTATAGATAGGGGGTTTTATTTGTTTGTTTCAAAGTTTTATTTAGCTGTTATTGAGAGTAACACAAAGAGCTGGTTTTTAGAGGATTTAAGGAATAGGTATATTTATGTAGTTTATAGAGAAAGGAATGTCTCAGTATTGGCTAAGTTAGATATAATCAGTTAATGTTCCACAGGGCAACAAAATCGTAATACCTTTGGGATTAATTTTCTCTACTAGGCTATAAAATCATCCACCTCATTAATTCTGCAGTTAAACTCAAACCTTACAGGACTATAAATTATCCGAGTCTTTATTAATAGTGGATCGTTCATTAAATAGACTGTGATAATGCAGTTTTATCCCTCAGAGCACATATAAGGTTCAGACAGGCTTATTAGAAAATGCCAGAGCTTTCTAAATTTGGGATTGAAATTTTGCTTCATAATTATAAACTCAAACTTGACTGTGTAAGGAAAGGACAGTATTGTCACTATGAGATGAAGGCTTTTAGGAGAAGATGAGCTGAACAGAATAGTTTCAGCTTCCCTGTTTACAAGGGCCCTTTCTGAGGAAGTCAACCGGCAGTGTTATGGGTGAGTCCTAGGAAATGGGGTTCATCTCAGTCCACATATCTGGAGGGTTCTCTTGTGGACCAGTACTGGAAGGACAGCAGAAATAGGATCAGAGGGAGTGGGCTGCCCTGCATTTCCTGTTTAACTGACCATGGCTTACCTGCAGCTAACAGGGTAGGTCAAAGCAGAACCTCCCTGTGTGGGAAGGGAATGTCCTCTGCTGATGCAAGCTGCAGAGCTTGTAGGAGAAACTGCATCAGCATATGTTGAAGATCAAGCCATTGAGTGCAGATAGGAATCTGGGCCAGGTTTCTATTTTTTTTTTTTTTGAGACAGAGTCTCGCTTTGTTGCCTAGGCTAGAGTGAGTGCCGTGGTGTCGGCCTAGCTCACAGCAACCTCAAACTCCTGGGCTCAAGCAATCCTACTGCCTCAGCCTCCCAAGTAGCTGGGACTACGGCCTGTGCCACCATGCCCGGCTAATTTTTTCTATATATATAGTTGGCCCAATTAATTTCTTTCTATTTATAGTAGAGCAGGTCTCGCTCTTGCTCAGGCTGGTTTTTGAACTCCTGACCTTGAGCAATCCACCCGCCTCGGCTTCCCAGAGAGCTAGGATTACAGGCCTGGGCCAGGTTTCTAAAGCATTCGGTCCTCAGGTTAAAAAGCTGCTGTGGCAGCTGGGATGTTATTTTCTGAGTTACACTGCTTCAATCTGGTCTGGTTATTCTCTGCTTCTAGGGCACAGCTGGATTCACTTTAGCTTTCCTACGTTGGATCTTTCCTATATTCTGTATTCTCTTTTATTGATTTATTCTCTCTGGTGAAGCTCAAACTCCAGCAGCTTCTTTTTTTTTTTTTTTTTTTTTTGAGACAGAGTCTCGCTTTGTGCCCAGGCTAGAGTGAGTGCCGTGGCGTCAGCCTAGCTCACAGCAACCTCAAACTCCTGGGCTCGAGTGATCCTTCTGCCTCAGCCTCCCGGGTAGCTGGGACTACAGGCATGCGTCACCATGCCCGGCTAATTTAATTTTATATATATATCAGTTGGCCAATTAATTTCTTTTTATTTATAGTAGAGACGGGGTCTCGCTCTTGCTCAGGCTGGTTTTGAACCCTGACCTTGAGCAATCGCCCGCCTGGGCCTCCCAAGAGCTAGGATTACAGGCGTGAGCCACAGCGCCCGGCCTCCAGCAGCTTCTTGACAAGAAGAGTTACTTTTTTTTTTTGAGAACTTGCATGTCTGAATATGTTTTGATTCTATCCTCATACTTGATATTTTGGCTGGTAATACACTTTTAGTTGGAAATAATTTTCCTTCAGAGTTTTGAAATTATTGCTCTATTATCATATTGCTTCCAGTTTTGTTTTTTTTTTTAATTGAATCAAATCTCACTCTGTTGCCTGGGTTAGAGTACCGTGGCATCAGCCCAGCTCACAGCAACCTCAAACTTCTCGGCTCAAGCGATCCTACTGACTCAGCCTCTCAAGTAGCTGGGACTACAGGCATGTGCCACCATGCCTGGCTAATTTTTTCTATATATTTTTAGTTGTCTTGCTAATTTCTTTCTATTTTTAGTAGAGATGAGGTCTTGCTCTTGCTCAAGCTGGTTTTGAACTCCTGACCTTGAGTGATCCTCTCACCTCGGCCCCCCAGAGTGCTAGGATTATAGGCGTGAACCAAGCCTTGCTTTCAGTTTTGCTGTTGGGAATTCTAAGTTACCATGATTCCTGATCCTTTGTTTGTGACCTGTGTCTGTATATGGGTTTTTTTTTTCTGTCTGTGAACTTAGAGAATCTATACTTTGACCTCAGGTGTTTGAAATTTAAAATGATGTATGATGTGATGGCATGTGCCTGTAGTCCCAGCTACTTGGGAGGCTGAGGCAGGAGGATCACTTGAGTCTAGCAGTTTGAGGTTGCAGTGGGCTCTGATGAGGCCACTGTACTCCAGTATGGGTGACAGCAAGACCCTGTCTCTGAAATAAAATAAAATGAGGTATGTGTTCATTTTCATTCATTAGATTAAGTATTCAGCAGGTTCCTTTTTTTTTTTTAATTATAATTATATATATAAATTCTTTAATATTCTTTCCCGTCCTACTGACCTGTGTTGATTCTGGCTCAGCAGGTTCCTTAAATCTGGAAATATAAGAACTTTTATTCTAGGGAAATTTTTTCGAAATATTTTGCTGATTATTTTCTCACTTCTATTTTCTTTGTAGTCTCCTCTCTGAAACACCTGTTATTTATATGGGCAATGAACCTTTTGTATTGGTCTTTAGTTACTGTTTATTTTTTTCGAGACAGAGTCTTGCTCTGTCTCCCTGGGTAGAGTGCAGTGGCGTTTTCATAGCTCAGTGTAGTCTCCAACTCCTGGGCTCAAGTGATCCTCCTGCCTCAGCCTCCTGAGTAACTGGGACTACAGGCATGCGCCACCACACCTGGTTAATATTTTTTCTTTTAATGTTTTATAGAGACCAGGTCTTGCTATGTTGCCCAGGCTGGTCTCAAACTCCTGGTCTTAGGTGATCCTCCGGCCTGGGCCTCTCAAAGTGCTAGAATTATAGGCATGAACCACCACCACTCCTGGCCTGTAATTTCTTACATATTTTCTCTTTTTGTTTTTCCTACTTTCTGCTATTTTTTCTTAACTTTTATTTCCCAACCTTTTTATTTGGATTTTAAGAAAGTTTCCATTATCACATCTTTAAATTCCAAAGGCTATTTTTGAGTCTCTCAGTATTTCTTATGATAGCATCCTATTCTTGTTTCATAGATGTAATATGTTCTCTTATCTCTGAGGTTATAATGATTTTGTTTTAGGTTTTTTTCTCCCTGCAGAATTTGTTT